AAAACTTAAATGAGATACCTATGAAAGAATCTTCTTGGTGCGAAAAATGACTAAATGAAAAAGAGAAAATGTTGATTGGTGGAATTTACAGAAGCCCAAATAGTGACAATGTAAACAATGAGACACATGAGCTTTGCATGTAGGGCTCTCGGAAACACTTATTTGAGGGTATTGTTACGCATAATTTTTGCAAAAGAACGCTTAAAGATATGCATATAATTCCAAATCAGCGTGTCATTGCGTCCTTCTAATATGCAATATACCGCAGCTAATGTGTAAGTTTTTAGGTGGGGCTTTACCAGTGTCAAATACAATGCATGCACAGCCAATCAGGACGCAAGTTTTTCCAATAATCTAATTGATTGAAGTAGAGGTCGCGTGTTTATGATCTTTGGGCATGCGACAAACACAGCATAGTCAATCAGAGGAAATTGCTGTGTTGATTATATTGACCGTTTGAAGTCATAAGACATATGTGATGATTCTCAATAATTGATTGTTTGACGGACTTGTGCATGCATACTGAAACTTATTTACAAATCTTCAATAATTCAGCAGTGAGATACAATGAGCTTCATGCTATGTCACAGATATTAGAAGATGAAGATATGTTGTATCTCACATTGAAAGAACCAGCCAGTTTCCAATGGCTCTCATTTGAAGGTGCAGTTCTTGCTATCATAGACTTTTCTTCTGTTTACAATACTCTGGAACATGAAGCCGTCAAGGGTAATGCTGACACCAAGGGTCTGTTAGCTAAGGTGAGAAATGTGACATTTGTCCTTGTGTCAGCCTTCTTGAAAGATGTTTTGTCTGTAGTGTGCAAATTGTCTAAGATCTTTCAGAGAGACTGTCAGACAGTGTTGATGTAGAGACTGTAAATTTCATGGTAGAGTCAACAGCAATTAAAAAATTCAAATGGACCAGAATTAGAGAAGACATACAATGGTATCAGTGACAATGGTATGTACTGCAATGTGAAATTGACTGACAGAGAACAGTTGAGGATGCAGTTTCAAAATACAACATCTCTGTATCTAAACAAAATAACAGAGAACATAGAGAGTAGGTTTGATGAAGAATCAATGAAAAGTCTACAGCTTCTTAACACAGTGTTGTGTCCTAGTAAAATTCCTAAAAATGTAACTGACTTGGAAAGCCATGGCCAAACAGAATTGAAAAAACTTTGTGACTTGTATGGTGGTGAGTCTGGATTTATCGACAATGATAGAGCTGTTTCAGATTACTTTCAGGTGAAAGTCATTTTGAAATCCTTGACTATGTCACTTGCAGATGCTTGTTCTTACATTTTGTGTAATTATAGTGATGTTTTTCCTGACTTTGTTAAGCTGGCTAGTATTGTCCTTGTATCCCCTGTAACATCTGTTGCCTGTGAACGTGGATTCAGTGTCCATAACAAAATAAAGACAAAGGGACGTAGTTGTCTCAACCACAACACAGTTACAAAGTTAATGAGAGTCATTGAAGAGGGCCCTGAGGTTGAGGCATTCAACCCTGTGCCTGCAGTTGTAAAATTCTGCCAAATGAAAAAGAGAAGGAAGTAAACTTTAAAAAATGTGCAAATGTCAATGTGTGTCTGATTTATTGCTCATGTTCATGTGTCTATGTTACTGAAGCACCAATGCATTCAAGTCTGCTTGATAGACTAAGAGATTCAATGTAGAGAGTCTTTATAAATGTATATTGTTTGTATATATGTATATTATATCTAATTGACTTCTTTGGTGATGTTAGTTTTTAGCTCGACTATTCGATAAGAATAAGTAGAGCTATTGTAGTCACCCGAGCGTTTGGTAACCACTTGTGTTAAAGTTTTTGTAATACCTCAAATATTTTCAAAGTCCATTGACATATGGCTTTGAAACTTTGCACACTTGTTCACCATTATGACCCCAAAATGTAGACAGGTGGAGGTAACAGTATCAAGCCTTTTGACAGAATTATGCCCCTTTTTGACTTAGAATTTACGTTAAAGTTTTTGTAATACCTCAAATATTTTCAAAGTCCATTGACATATGGCTTTGAAACTTTGCACACTTGTTCACAATCATGACCCCAAACTGTAGACAGGTGGCGGTAACTGTATCAAGCATTTTGACAGAATTATGCCCCTTTTTTACTTAGAATTTATGTTAAAGTTTTTGTAATACCTCAAATATTTTCAAAGTCCATTGACATATGGCTTTGGAACTTTGCACATTTGTTCACCATCATGACCCCAACCTGTAGACAGGAGAAGGTGACTCTATCAGAATTATGCCCCTTTTTTGACTTAGAATTTTCATTAAAGTTTTTGTAATACCTAAAAAAAAAGTCCATTGACATATGGCTTTGAAACAAGATAAAATTTTATACTTTTTGAGAGCATAATAGGACTCTCCAATGCCTATAACTGTAACATGGATTTAAAGAAAAAAATTTGCCCTTTTGTTAACTTAGGAAATTTTACATTATCAAGGCTTTCTTACTATCAAGCACTAAGAATAGTCGAGCGTTGCTGTCCTACCGACAGCTCTTGTTTGAAATGTTGAAACTGTGTATATTTGAATACTGGTTAGACTGAACTTATAAGTATATGCAATAAAGTTAGGTTTCTACTTTCATGTGTAGCAAAATGCACTATGTACAGTACTGTGTATTTATTTATAAATGTTTTTATGACGTACATGTATTATATACCATATTTGTTTTAAAATGACCGTCATAGCTTTAGTTAGAACTTTATTTATTCAATAAATTGTTCATAAAATGGCATTTACAAACATTGCACAATAATGTAATTCAGACTGGATTGGAAAACAAGTAAAACAATACTTATTCCAATTCCTCTTCGTGGTAGCTTTCAAAAAAATACTCGGAATATTATTGCAAAAGCAGATGCTGCTATAATTTTTAGCTCGACTTTTTTTTTTTGAAAAAAAAGTAGAGGTATTGTTATAGTCAGGTCGGCGTTGCCGTTGCCGTCCGAAAACTTGTACCTGGATCATAACTTTTTTATTTCTTGGTGTATTGTCTTCATACTTGGCCACAACAACCCTTGGGACAAGACCTTTCAGTAGACCACACTAACCTTGACCTTCATCCATAAATGACCTTGACCTTCAAGGTTAAAAGTCCAATTTTTGCTTGTTCATGCTGTTATTGGCTGTAACTTTGTTATTTTTGAATGGATTGTCTTCAAACTTAAACATAATAATCTTCAAGGATATCCCTTAAAAATAACCAGTCAGACCTTGACCTTCACTCATAAATGACCTTGACTTTGAAGGTCAAATGATTGAAATTTTCATTTTTTTGGCTATAATTGGCTGTAACTTTGTTATTTTTGAATGGATTGTCTTGAAACTTGAACATAATAATCTTCAAAGATAACTGTTAAAAATATACCGAAAGACCTTGACCTTCACTCATTAATGACATTGTCTTTGAAGGTCAAATTATTGAAATTTTCATTGTTTTGGCGGTAACTAACTGTAACTTTGCTATTTTTGAAGGGATAAACTTCATATTAGGGGTGTGGATCGTCGGATAAGTGACGTACGATCCGATCCAAACCTCGATTCCGCACTTACGATTCACAAATCGAACCACAAATATTTTGTTATCAAGACACCCATAAAACATGTACATTAGATATAAAAACATGTATATTTAAAAACAACTACAATACTAAACATTAAACATATAAAATATAAACTAGGTTTATGTTTTTATTCTTTGGATGAGTATTTTTGTTTTGTCTTTTTGAAACCAATTACTTCCTAGCTCAGCATCATGGTACATGGTCTTTAACCGGCAAATTGTATTTAGGTTAACTTCATATAATTTATACTCATATCGTATTATTTTCGATTTAAAGAATGTGAGAAACAGTGAATGTATATAAACAAATTAGATCGCGATCAACGATCTCTGGGCTTACGAATATTCAAACTCGATTTTTCACTTTGATTCGAGATTATTCGAGTACTCGGATACTCGCCCCAGCCCTACTTCATATTATAACAGAACATTCTTAAGGACCAGACCTTGTTGTTTATCAAACCCAAATTTGGTTGGGCTCTTTAATGACCTTGACCTTGAAGGTTATATTACTGAATTTTCTCAGATTTGTGCATTTATTGTGTGTGTGTATATATAATATATATATATATATCATGTATAGTATATGTATTATATATATATATATTATATATATATATATATATATATATATATATATATATATAAATGTGTGTGTGTGTGTACATATATTATATTGCGTCATTTTTTCTATTTTTAGAAAATTCCATAATTTTTTTTCTATTTTTAGAAATTGCATCATTGTTTCTATTTTTAGAAATTGCGTCATTTTTTTCTATTTTTAGAAATTGCGTCATTTTTTCTATGTTTAGAAATTGCGTCATTTTTTTTCTATTTTGAGAAATTGCGTCATTTTTTTCTATTTTTAGAAATTGCGTCATTGTTGCTATTTTTAGAAATTGTTGCTATTTTTAGAATTTTTTCCAACATAATTCACGTTAATAACTAAATACATGTTGTGTATGCATAGTTTACATATGTGTTGTATGAAAACAGCTATCTGAAGATTGCTTGATTGGGTCTATATTGTATATAACCACCACAATGATATGGCAATAACTCTGTACTTTAGTATCTGTTTATCTCAGTCCAGTCAGCATTGGTTCTAACTAGGGCTGTCATTCATTGAATTATCTAATATTGTTAATGTCATTTATATTCAACATTTGATTCATAATTTGGAACACTGGTACACATTAAAACCCATTTCTGCCATATTTTACACATATCATTTTTGTCTGATGAGAGCTATGCAATTGCTATATCAATATAGTTGATATTAAGCTTGAAATATATCATATCAATGACAGCCCTTGTTCTAACCACTATCTTAACTTTCTTCCAGAGACTTAATTATAAATTCATGTGATACAGTATTACTGTTTTATTTATTTCAGCTCTTGATGAGGGAGATATTGCTTTACTGAAAACTTATGTAAGTAATCAGCATTTTAACCTTTTACTATCAGCAATAGTAGTTGGCCTATAACATCAGTGTAAAGTTAGGCCAGCTAACTCTTCCATGTAGTCATGACAAGGTGCAATCTCACTGAAGTTCAGATATACCTTATTCTTCCATGTAGATTTGATGACCACAGTAAATATTTCGCTTTCCTTATCGGATTTTCCAATTTTTAGCCATGCAGTTAAACCTGTTTTTACAGATAGGCGCTAGAAGCAGCATCAAAATACTGTTATCCATTCTGTTATACGAAGCAGGCCAGTTCCAGTACACAAAATATAACCCAACATAATTATATTATGCCAATATCATTATATCAGTCCTCTTTATCATTGAATAGACAATTTATCTGTTTATTCTATTTAGTGAACAATGCATAAAATGTTTTCTGAGTAAATATTGGTATTTTTTTCATTTTTGAACAATTTTATTTTTTTACAAGTAAAATGATGATTATCCGTAAGAAACATGCTTACTTACTACAATACTTTATTACATATAGAATAATGAAACATCTAAAAAATTAAAGAGGAAAACACTACCTGGACCTTTTTAGTCCCCTACCCGTTTACCGGAGGGGACTTTAGGTTTACCCTCCGTCAGTCTGTCCGTCTGTCTGTCCGTCCGTCAGTCCGTCCGTCTGTCCACAAAACTGGATCCCGCGATAACGCAAAAAGTACTTAAAATATCAGACTTCCCGAAATATGTCGGTCCGACGGACATGTCCGATAAATTTTGATCAGGTCTGACCAGTTTTTATTACGGATCGGTCCGACTGTCCGGCTTTTATCCAAGCAGCATGTATACAAAATGACGTCGCTAAAGGTGCCAAACCTGGGAAAAATCAAAAATCTACGTCAGAGGAACGCGCAGAACAGCAGTAAAAGGATAAAAAGAATAGACATGAGACAAAATTTAATGAAAAATAGAAGCAAGACAGTGAATCGTTGGTGTATGATAGGGAGGAGATGAAAATGCGTTGTAAGGAATGTGCCGATTTTACAGCGAAAAAATTAAAAACAAAAAGTGTCTTAGAAATACAAACACAAGTTAATCTTTGATTTTGATCAATTTTATTTGGTCCGACAGATTTCTTTTCGGTCCGTCAGATTTTCATGGTTTGTCAGACCGAATGTCTGACAGTTTTTTTCAACTTTCCGGAAGTCTGAAATATTTTAATGAAACTTGGTATATGGATAGATGGCAGTATGGAGATTATGCACGTCTTTTTCTTTTCTTCCTATGTTGAAAATTCTGGTTGCTATGGCAACAAATAGACTGAAAATATGGCAAATTTTACACATAACCTGGATCCCGTGATAACGCAAAAAGTACTGAAAATATTTTTATGAAACTTGATATATGGATAATGGCAGTATGGAGATTATGCACGTCTTTTTCTTTTCTTCCTATGTTGAAAATTCTGGTTGCTATGGCAACAAATAGACTGAAAATATGGCAAATTTTACACATAACCTGGATCCAGTGATAACACAAAAAGTACTGAAAATATTTTTTTGAAATTTGTCATATGGGTAGATGGCAGTATGGAAATTATGCACATCCTTTTCTTATCTTCCTATGTTGAAAATTCTGGTTGCTATGGCAAATAGACTGAATTTCAAGATTTCTGATTCTAGTTTTTAAGTTTTTTCACTATAAGTTCTTTATTTCTTAAGGTATTTTCTTCAAACTTTAAATATAAATTGCTTGTCATCAACCACATCATATGTGACAAGGTTTACAACTCTAGCACAAAATTTATTAGAATAACCTCCCTTGAACTTAAAATTTTCATGAAAAAAACATGTTTTTAGCTCGACTATTCGAAGAATATGAGAGCTATTGTAGTCGCCCCGGCGTTGGCGTCAGCGTCTGCGTTGGTTAAAGTTTTTTGTAAAGTCAAATATCTCAATTATTGCTTGAGATATTCAATTGAAACTTACAATACTTATTTATAGTAACTAGGTACATCAGATTGACAAGTTCGATAACTCTACCTACATTATTGACAGAATTATGCCCCTTTTTAACTTAGAAATTTTGGTTAAAGTTTTTTGTAAAGTCAATTATCTCAATTATTGCTTGAGATATTCAATTGAAACTTACAATACTTATTTATAGTAACAAGGTACATCAGATTGACAAGTTGGATAACTCTGCCTACAATATTGACAGAATTATGCCCCTTTTTGACTTAGAATTTATGTTAAAGTTTTTGTAATATCTCAAATATTTTCAAAGTCAATTGACATATGGCTTTGAAACTTTGCACACATGTTCCCCATCATGACCCCAACCTTTAGACAGGAGGAGGTAACTGTATCCAGCATTTTGACAGAATTATGCACCTTTTTCGACTTAGAATTTATGTTTTAAGTTTTTGTAATACCTCAAATATTTTCAAAGTCCATTGACATATGGCTTTGAAACTTTGAACACTTGTTCACCATTATAACCCCAACCTGTAGACAGGAGGAGGTAACTGTGTCAGGCATTTTGACAGAATTATACCCCTTTTTCAACTAAGAATTTACTTTTAGGTTTGCATTCCACCTCAGATATTTTCATATTCTATTGAAACAAGTTGATATTTTATACTTTGAGAACATAATAGGACTCTGTCCAAGGCCTATAACTTTAACATGGATTTAAAGAAAAATTTTGTCCTTTTGTTATTAACTCTGAAAATTTTACATTATCAAGGCTCTTTTACTATCAAGCACTAAGAATAGTCGAGCGTTGCTGTCCTACCGACAGCTCTTGTTTTAATAACTTCTTTTTCTGAATGTATCTACTTCAAACTTCATATAAATGTTTCTTATTATCACTCAACATTTGTGAGTGTTCAATACTCTAGCAAGACTATTTCCAGAATTATGCCCCTTTTGAACTTGAGAAATTGGTAATTTTTACTCCAACTTCTTCAATCATGATAGGATTTTAAAAATGTTATATTTTGATAACAGGGATGTTTAAAAAATAACTTTAGAGTGTCCTTCAGTCTGTCTGTCTGTACATAAAAACTGTTTCCTGTGATCACTTTTAAAGAACTTTTTCAACAAATTTACTTAAAATAGGAACCTAAGTGAATGGCCAATGGCCCTTCAGAATGTTGCTTGGGCTCTTATCGGTAGGGGACTTATGGATTGCTTGCAATACTATGATAATTGCTTGTTTTGTATTGTTTATCTCCACACAGATAAGAAAGAGTTATATGCATGTGAATTGCATCACCCTGACTACCAGAATTGAGTTCTTTATATAAAAATTACTATTTTAAACTATATGCTGGGATTTGACTTTACTTTTTACACTTGTTTTAATTTTCTTATTAATTCAAGTAAAACTGTTCTAAGATTGTGAAAATGTAATGACAAAAAGAAGATAGGATGTTTACTTCATTTTCTGATTGACAATGTTTCTGTGGTTACGAGATACATGGGAGAGGACAGTATAACAATGCTAATTATTTTGTCTATTATACAGGGTGTAGGACAGTACAGTAAATCCATCAAACAGGTGGAGGAGGACATTCAAAACTGTCTCAAGAAAGTCAATGAACTTGCAGGTAATAAATTGTTGTTGTTTTTTTGTTTTTTTATTGAAAGCATACAGTTTATAGATTAATCATTTACATAAATATAAATGTATGTTCTTACATTAAATTGGTAAATTTTATGATAACAAGTATTTGAATATTTTATATAGATTTGAATAAGATAGCTTGTAGCTGTGGAATTGATAGAAATCTCTAAAAAAATGAAAATTTAATTTTATTTGACGAAATTCTCATCAATTTCGATGAGAATTGATACTCTGGTATCCAGTATAGTTATATTTTTGAACTTCTGAACCCAGTTGTCTGTGTTGGTACAAATAACAACATCATGTTGTCTTCACTGTCATATTTCATTCCTAAATCCTGTCATATCAATTCTTGGTGGTTGAAAACCTGGTTTTTGTTGCATTGCGGCACTTCCTGTTATCAAGTTTAATTTCGTATTATAGTAACCTGATATGATAAGAGGAGAAATAGTTGGATTTTAATAACTTGATATAACAGTAATTTTGTAAGTTCTTGAAGTGAGTTTTTTTTTCAACATACCGGTGTTTATTTGACAAAGAAATGTAATTTCCCTATTTTTGAGATGCAAGTTTAATATTAAAATGTCAGTCTATTTTTAATACCCAAACATAGGTTAAAAGGTAATTTCTTTGGTTGATATTACTGATTGGCAAATAATACATAAAATTTTGTCCATAAAATAGGCAAAGTCATATGAGGTATTCAACCTTATACAGTGTACATGTATATCAGAATTGAAATATATCAGAATTGAGATATATCAGAATTGAAATATATCAGAATTGAAATATATCAGAATTGAGATATATCAGAATTGAGATATATCAGAATTGAAATATATCAGAATTGAGATATATCAGAATTGAGATATATCAGAATTGAAATATATCGGAATTGAGATATATCAGAATTGAAATATATCAGAATTGAAAAATCACAAAATTTCTTAAGAAAACACTGTATTAATATTCTGGGTTTTATTTTTTAAGTTCATAGTATATCCAGTATTCTATTTGTCATTTAAGGTATCAAAGAGTCAGACACAGGTTTGGGACCACCTGCATTATGGGATTTAGCTGCCGACAAGCAGACCTTACAGAGTAAGTTTGTTTTGTAAAATTCTGATCCTGTAGTTTGCTGAATTTCTTAAATAGGCTTGTCAGTCTTCTATTTTTGGAATTATCAATTTTTGGGATATTTAGATGAAAGTTTTAAATAAAGAAGTCAACAGTATAGAGCCCCAGGGATGTGCAAGCTGGCCTGGCTTTATACTGGTGGCAAAGGTCAGTAACTTTCTGTTTTGAGCAGGTTACGGGTTTATGCTGATGTTAACATTCTGATCCCAATAAATCTAGTATGTTCATGCATGTACAGTATATAGAACCATGGTTTGTTAATCAGGCATTCGATTATACATGTATGTTACATTTTACATTTGGCTTTGAGTCATGTACTTGTTACAAGTAACTTTATTACGTAGTAACTAAATTGCTGTAATTTGTTCCCATTTCTGCAGGTGAGCAACCACTACAGGTAGCAAGATGTACAAAAATCATAAATGCCGATTCTGATGACCCAAAATACATTATCAATGTGAAACAGTTTGCTAAATTTGTTGTGGACTTGGGGGATCAAGTGGCTCCAACTGACATAGAAGAAGGAATGAGAGTGGGGTAAGTTGTTGAAGAATTCTGTTTTTAACGTTTTGCTGAGTTATATCATAGACATTGAATTTGGAACTATTATTTGCCCTGATAAAAATGCTGAAACCCTTCTAATATTCAGTGTACACAAGCTGGAGAATTCTTAATTTAAGCATATTTTAAGAATTGATCAACTTTTTGGACAACATCACACACTCAGAAGAAATGTTCTTAATGTTTTCAAGATTGGATTATTAAGAGATGAAATTAAATATACAGAACAGAAAAATTGAGTTGATTAATGTTCAGGTGCAAAAAAGAAATGTTAGGCTTCTTGTTTGAATAGTACATGTTCCTTTGTTAAAGGCACATTATGCCTCAACAAAAATACATTTTTAGTTCTTTACAAAAGGCAAACATGAATTTTAAAATGTTTAAAAATTGGTTTTAGAGAAATGTTAGAGCTTGTTACCTGAAAAAAATAATGATAAAATGTCAAATAATTTATCATAAAAGCAGCCAAATTTAAGTTAACAAAGTATTATTTTCATTTTCATTCAAAATACTAATTTACTTTAACTGTACTTATTGCCAAAAGGCAACAGATGAAAAAGAGGATTCTGGCAATGAGTAACTTTTTGGATACCGTAAAAGTAAAACAAAATTAAAATTGTTTTGAAAAATAAAAATTAAAGCATTTCTGAGGCATAATTTGCCTTTAAGCATATCTTTGCACCATTGGTCATTGCTAATTACACTATCTCCCTCTATTTTTCTATTTATTCCATAACATTTTTGATTTTGAAATCTAAAATTTTCTTGTTACTTGACAGAGTTGACAGAAACAAGTATCAGATTCACATTCCGTTGCCACCAAAGATTGATCCATCAGTAACAATGATGCAGGTAGAGGAGAAACCAGATGTAACTTACAGTGATGTTGGTGGGTGTAAGGAACAGATTGAAAAATTAAGAGAAGTTGTAGAAACACCATTGCTTCATGTAAGTTGGGAGATATTTTCTGTTGTTTTTGTTATATTTTTAGAAGTGATTGGTTAATTTTTACAATCGAGGGTTCACCTTATAAAAAAATTTTTGTTTACTGAGAGTAAAAAAAAAAATTTTAAAAAAAAATTAAAATTTACCCCTACAAAAAAATGCCTTTCCCGACCTATTTTGGGCAAGAGTTTTAAGCCTTTTTGGGGTTAAAGGGTTGATCGAAACTTTTTTTAAATCAATTTTACCCCTTTTGGCGTGTGTTTGACCCCCCGGGAGATTTTTGGTAGTTTAGGTGGAGATGGGTTAGTCTAGTACTTGTGTAACTCTACAGGAACGATGGTTAGGAAAATACCCGCCTATATGACTGAAATACTGTTGATAAAAGGCGTAAAATGAAACAAACAATTATGTTAAGCATTATTTCTATAAGTTCATGAAAATTTATTTGGGAAAAGGCATGTATTATCTTGCTTTCTTTTCATTTGCCTTGCAAGAATTTGACTTACAAAAAAAACTTTTCTTGTAAATAGATAATATGAATAAATAAATTTCTGTAGAGTATAAATTTATATGTGTTTTCTTTTTATATGCTCATAACATCACTGATCTGATACTGATTTAATATATATTTTTCTTGTTTTGTTTTTTTACAGCCTGAAAAATTTGTGAATCTTGGTATTGAGCCTCCTAAAGGGGTTTTATTATTTGGACCACCGGGTACTGGCAAGACGTTGTGTGCCCGACTGTAAAAAACAAAAACCAAATCCCCTTTTATCAGATTTATGGATCCGGGGGTTGGGCCCAAAAATTATGTTGGGAGGTATACAAATATTCATATTTTGAATTTTAAAATAAAAAAAACAATTTACCCGAGACTTTTTATTATGCCTGCCATATGTAATTTTTAAGTTGGTTTATATACGAGTCTTCTGGAGGTTGTTGCTGGTACATTTTGTGTCTTCATTTGGTTTCTGTGTTCAATAAATGGCTCTAGAAGAAACTCTAGAAAGTAATTATGAGATTGACTTCAGGATATGAAATGTAGATACATAAGGACTGGAGTGTACATGTTTGCAGGTCCGAAGAACTAGAACAAACTGGTCCTTAGGATAAATCTCTAGATTATATACACTAAAACAAAACTTTACATTTGTATCAAGTATCCTGGTTGGGCACTGATTACTTACTATAAACATTGAGTTACTGTCAGTCTGTTATAATGTCAGTTATATATAATTTTAAAGGAAATCAACATTATGCTCAATTACAGATTAAGAGGAAAGTCAGTTATTATAATGAAATATTCTTTTGACGATCAGTGTAAAATATCAGTGTAACACTCTATATTTTAATTTAATTGTATACAGAACTTATTCTTAATCTTCTTACTTTTGAAGTCACATAGATATTGAATAGGTCATTATAAATCACAGTATTCATAAGTGGATGAAAACTCCACATTCCCCTTCACCCATGAGTATAACCACCAACTTTGTCCATACAAGATGGATATCCCCAATGCACTTTTCTCTGGCAGGATTCAAATTTATAACCTGTAAAGATGTATGAGTTCTGAAAAAATTATATCATATATTTTAGGGAGCAAGAATGGTGCGTGAACTGTTTGAGATGGCTAGGAACAAGAAAGCTTGTATTATTTTCTTTGATGAAATTGATGCTGTTGGAGGTAGGTCAAGTTTTTTGGAGTTTTATTTATGGCCATATTTAACCTGAAAATTGATACACAAGTTATTGGGCCAGATCTCCATTAATTTGTTCAAATATTTCGAGTCCTAACACATCAAAAAACCTCAGTGGAGTCAATTTAATACTGAATAATTTAAATCCACAACAAAATATAAAAAGGCATAAAATAAGGCATAAAATAATCAGCATTGACTTGAAAGGTTTTGCCTTTCATGTATTATTAACAATATGCAATATAGAAACAAGAAGTAGAAGATAATCAGTGAAATATGCTAAGATTAGATATTATTATTGTTTTTGAAGGTTATTATTTCAACAAAGCTCTCATTAATAGGTTTTAAACCTTTTCCAAATGATATTAATTGAAGTTTTATCAAAATGAGCATGTTAGTTCTATTTTAGTTGAAGAAATATCATCTAGATCAACATTTCATTTCATTTATTGGTAAATCAGCATTTCAAATGACTTTGACCATTTACACATACTAAATATGGTCAAGACATATAGTTTACATAAATATTACACAAATAATCTTTGAATAATATATAATCACCAAATAACAAACATTAAGAAAATTTAAACACACAAAGAAAATAAAATCTAAGAAGCAGCATTATTATCAAGGGTTAAATTTCTTAATTTGAAAGCTTCCTTTTATAAACTTTGCATTTTTAGCTCGACTATTCGAAGAATATGAGAGCTATTGTAGTCGCCCCGGCGTCGGCGTCTGCGTTGGTTAAAGTTTTTTGTAAAGTCAAATATCTCAATCATTACTTGAGATATTCAATTGAAACTTACAACAATTATTTATAGTAACAAGGTACATCAGATTGACAAGTTGGATAACTCTGCCTACAATATTGACAGAATTATGCCCCTTTTTAACTTAGAAATTTTGGTTAAAGTTTTTTGTAAAGTCAAATATCTCAATAATTACTTGAGATATTCAATTGAAACTTACAATACTTATTATAAGTAACAAGGTACATCAGATTGACAAGTTAGATAACTCTGCCTACAATATTGACAGAATTATGCCCCTTTTTAACTTAGAAATTTGGTTAAAGTTTTTTTGTAAAGCCAAATATCTCAATTATTGCTTGAGATATTCAATTGAAATTTAAAAATAACTTTTTTATAGTAACAATGTACATCATTTGCAAAATTGCATAACTCTGCCTGCAAAATTTGAAGAATTATTTGCCCCTTTGAAACTTAGAAATTTTGGTTAAAGGTTAAAGGTCTTCAAAGATATTTACTTGAAACTTTACACATGCACTTAGGGTCATTAATTGGAGGGTCATAATTGTATGTCACTGACCAAGTTCCATAAACTCTATCTTGCATTAAGGCTGATTCATATCCCCTTTTCTACTTAGTCTCTTGGTTAATGTTTACATGCAAGTTTTACATATCTCAATAACTATTAAAGATATTTATTTTAAAACTTCACATATGAATTTAGGGTCATAATTGTAGGTCACTGACAAAGATCCATAATTCTATCTTGCATTTAGGCTGATTTTTCTCCCCTTTTTCAACTTAGAAATTTCATGGTAAAGTTTTGCTTGTAAGCTGTTATCTCAATTACTACTGAAGGGTTTGTGCCTTTTTTTGGGACAATTTTATGCATTCATAATAATAAAGCAGTGATTTACTTGATAAAACATCTTAATTAGAAGCCTTTGTACCTTTTCTGTCAAATTTATGTATTCATAGGTAATTAGTATTATTATACTCAATAAAACAACCTTGTGACATTACCTTCCGAATAGTCAAGCCAATACTGTATAATTAGACTCTCTAAGGCCTATAACATGAATTTATTAAAAAAAAATTAGACCTTTTGTGATCTTAAAAAATTTAACATTATCAAGGCTCTTTTACTATCAAGCACTTAGAATAGTCGAGCGTGCTGTCCTACCGACAGCTCTTGTTTACGATACTAGTTACCGCCTCCGTGGTCGAGGGGTTAGAGTCAGTGACTTCTAATCCAGTTACCTCGTTGGCATGGGTTCGATCCCCGGGAGATGCTTTGGTAGTTTAGCTAGGAGGAAGGTAGTCTAGTACTGGTGTAACTCTCCAGGAATGATGGTTAGGAAACTATCCGCCTATATGACTAAAATTCTGTTGGGAAAAGGCGTAAAATGAAACAAACAAACGATACTAGTTCTACGATATGATGACATAATATAAATGAACTTTTAAACTTTTTGGCCAGGAATTATTTAACAATTTATGATACAGGTGCTCGGTTTGATGACGGTGCTGGTGGTGATAATGAGGTACAGAGGACCATGTTAGAACTTATCAACCAGCTAGATGGGTTTGATCCTCGTGGTAACATCAAGGTTCTCATGGCAACAAACAGACCAGATACTCTTGATCCCGCCCTCATGAGACCTGGTCGTCTAGATAGAAAGATTGAGTTTGGTCTGCCTGATCTAGAAGTAATTTATATATTCTAAGGCTGTTTAAAACACTGTTTATTTCTGTTACTTTTTGGTCCATTGTAATTAACCTTTTATTTGGACTCAAATGAACATCTGAGCTATTCAACTAAAATATTTTTCATACAAAAGTTAACCTTTTAAAATTTGTCACGGAAGTGGTGTGGGGTGTTTGTGATTGCCTCTTTATAAAATGAACCTTTTCATGTGAAGCAAATGTTTTATAGGAACCAGTTATTGTTTTATTAAAGATTTGTTTGGTTTACAAACTGACATATTTGTTGTCATAGTTGTGTAAAGTAATTTCTTGTCTAGATAATGAATCATGTATTCATGAACCAATCATTTTTTACAGGGTAGAGCACATATATTCAAGATCCATGCACGCTCTATGAGTGTTGAAAAAGACATCAGATACGAGCTTCTTGCTAGATTGTGTCCTAACAGTACAGGTATGATTCTTGAAAAACTTTGAAATAAACATTTACCTTCTTAACCCTTCACCTGCTGAAACAAAAGGTGATTAGCCTTCGCCACCAGTATAGGGCCAGGCTTACATGCAATCTGAACAAACTTAAATATGTTGTTTCAAATTCAAAGCAGGACAAATTCATTACACAGATTAAGTAGGTTAACTGTTAAGGTTAACTGTTGCTTAATTGTAAAAAAGCTAGACTTCTGTATAACACACTTGATTGAGTTAAGTATTTGAGTAATTTGCCATTGTTAGGCCATATTTGTGTATATAACTGGGTATTTTTTTAGGAGAAAATTATGACTTGAAAATATAGGTGTATATTAAGAAATTTACTTCTGTTCAAAGGTGATGTAACAGCTACTGAACAAAGTTATTTTCTTAGGTTAAATAATAATTTTTGTATTGACATTTCTGCTCTTAAAATGGAAAAGTTTGTGACCTTAAGGCAATGATATAGGGCATGTGCCTCTAGAATATCACTAGCCCTGCAGGCACTTTCTTCGTTCTGGACTAGACTAAATTGTTTGATGCTGAACTTTGGTACTTTGATATCACTTACAGAGTTAACAGTTTTATGTAAATGATAAGTTCATATTGAAAACAAAAGCAATGCGATCTCTTTAAAAGAATGTAACTTTATTTATAGAGGGTCAAAGGTTGACACTTAAGTGCAAAATAGTGGTAAAAATACATCCAAAAAATGAATTTTATGTCATTTTCAGGTGCTGAGATTCGTAGTGTGTGTACTGAAGCTGGAATGTTTGCTATCAGGGCTCGTAGGAAAATGGCGACAGAAAAAGACTTTTTAGAAGCAGTTAACAAAGTTATCAAGGCTTATGCTAAATTTAGTTCAACACCTAGATACATGACCTACAACTGAGAGGATTCGGGAAACATTCTATATAATATGCTGCATCAAAGCGAGTTCTCATTCTGAACTTTATAATACAATTTATATTTATCTCTTTTTAAAAGCTAATACAAATGTCAAAAGAAACAGTAGTGTACAAGATTTTGGAGTTAGACATAATTTAGAAGTTAACTAAAAAGAAAACATATAATGCAGTATACATTGAAATGATAAAAAGGTTTATTTCATCGCCAGTTTATATTTCATTCATCATCATCATGTTCTGACTCATATTGGCTTCAGTTACATGAGCCAGAAAATATACTTTCATACAAAATTACATTTAAAATAACTTCAGTGATGAATAGAATCTCTGGTAAAGTAACAAAAAAGATGGATATCACAAATCTTATTTGAGAGTGTTATTGGATTGAAATTAACATAGTGCTTCTTCTTTAATTGATTGAAAAGTTATCATTGTTCATTTAATAAAATGAAATAAAAGCTTATTTAAACTCAATTGTCTGTATTCTTGCTTAGTTTTATAATTTTGATACTGTATATTGGACACAATGGAATAGATAATGTGAAGATTAAAATTGGACTGATTTCAACAGTATTGTCCTTTTCCTGTGTACTTTTAATTACTATGTCGTCTTGTGTGTATTCTGTCCTAGCAGACATTAAATTGCTTACAATGGCATCTAAATGACTATTCTGCTATCTGACAAGGCTATATGCTAATGATTGGAGCCTCTGGTTGACATGTTGTGATAACACTGTTGGTTTAAATCCCAAAATTAACATATGAAGAAGCTATTTGCCAGGCTAATGGAAGGTCAATGGTCTACTCTGGTTTCCACTTTTCTATAAGTAATGCAAATTAGAAGCTGAGACCTCTCTGTGAACCATGACAGTTGTCATATGACTGTTACAGCCACATGCAACTGTAAAATATGGGAGATCAGTGGATCTATCCAGGTGCTTGTCTGCAGCTGAAATGTTATTTAAAAGTGTCATCATCTCTCCCATATCTGAACTGGTGTAAAAACACATACTACCTAAAAAGGGACACCCACTATCTGGTTCTTTCAACAAAATTTTAGAATAAACATATATGTCAAAACTGCAGTCTACCACTCCTATACCTGTACATGTATGTCCTCAACTAGAGAATACTCATCTAGTTGTGTGCCTGGCATCCCTAGCAAAATATTCTCGGAGAGTATCAAGAAATCCAAAGATCAGTAGCATGGTATAACCTGTCAGAATATAGTTACATGTACAGGAGTAGGGTTACTTACATGCTAAATATCCTAGAATGGAATTGGGTACAATAATTTAGGTTACGAAATTCCCTTATACTCTTCTACAATATCAGAGACTTAGTAACACAATGTGTTATAGCCAACTTATCCCCACCAGAAACCTGAAATAGAACATTTCCCAATACCAAACCAACAATCATTGTAATTCATTTCAAATGACTATAAGACTTTTGTAACTTTTAAACACGGTCAATCAGATCAGCACAAGTCTCAGAAAAATTTACTAGCAGTGCAAATTTATCATTGTTTAGATCTGTTAACTGAGTACTGTATTTCTACGTTTTACTTTTACATAGATCACTTTTAATAAAAACAGTTTTACAACAATGAGCACAACCCAGTCATAATCAGAAATCAGTTGTTGGGTTGGTACATGTAGCTGTTAAAATCTAATCTACCTTGTCTTAAAGCTTATTCTACGGAAAATACAGGTTACATGAGATTAACATAAGCTCTCGTCCCCCACCCCTGCCACTGTATCACACTTTGGAACCAACTCCAAAGGAACATTGTCATCCTGCCTGATCTAAACTAATACAAACAGGCAGTGATTAAGATACAGTATTAGTTGACCTGTTGTGTTTTTACTTGTCACCCTTACTAATAAAAACATTTGAACAATAACTTGAAGTTTTCAGTGTCTCTCACTGTGCTGATAAAGTTCATTTTCAGGTTTTTTTCTTCCTCTCACACCTTTCACTAACACATCCGATGCGCACTATTCCTGCCAATAAAACTCGCGAGAAGGGTTGGCAGTACTTCGACATATTTGTTATGTACGTAAAGAAAGAAGAAAAATATTTAGTAGTATATTTATGGTTCAATCATAAACTTAAACGTATGGTCAAAAGAAAATCCCGCTTATACAATAATGCTAAGAAGACTGGAAACTGGACTCATTTTAAAACCTTTCAACGTGAATGTAAAAAAGAATTCAAGAAGGCTGAAATCGGACACATAAACAGTACTATCATCAAAGGATTAGAAGAAAAAAACAGTAAACCTTTCTGGCGGCTAATTAAATCAAGAAGACAAGACAATATTGGCGTACAACCACTAAAGAAAAAAGGACAACTATTCAATAGCAGCAAAGAAAAAGCAGAAATACTTATAGAACAATTCAGATCCGTCTTTACCAAAGGAAACAACAATAAACCATCGACAAGATTAAGAGCTAAAGCACCAATACCTCCACTGAAAATAAAGGCATAGAGAAACTACTTAACAATATAGAAACCAGCAAAGCCATAGGTCCAGATGGAATTCCAAACATTGTCCTTAAAACCTGTGCCAAGACCCTTGCACCAACTTTACGACATATTTTCCAAACATCAATTGACAGTGGTAAACTACCCTCAGATTGGCGAAGCGCAAACATATCCCCTGTCTTCAAGAAGGGCGACTCACACCTTGCCGAAAACTATCGTCCTGTTTCACTCACATCAGTCTCCTGTAAACTACTAGAACATATAATCTGCAAGCACATCCTTGACCACCTTGAACAAAACAACATCCTCACCTCACTAAACCACGGCTTCAGATCAGGCTACTCATGTGAAACCCAGCTCCTCACCACAGTTCATGATTTACTACAACACCATGACAATAAATCTCAGATAGATATCATGATACTGGACTTCTCTAAAATAGATAAATAAAGAATCCCTAAAGAAAGCCCAACACGGCAAAATTGAAAATGTTGCAGGCTCGGTTTGATTGAGCCTGTTCATGGACGGTACTGGAAAGTGCAAGTTACCGTCCACGCCCCCTAGCACCGGCTTAAGCAGAATTCAACATTTAAACATGAAATAGTAAAATTTTGAATTTAGAAACATCCGCAGATGTGTTCATACGGCGGTTATCATGGAACCTTCAATGTGACACTTCCGTGCCATTCCATGAAAAGCGGCGTATGGTCCCCAAGTAATAAAAAGCGTGTGCCCTAAACGAGAAAACAATGGGCGGAACTAAATAAAATGGAATTTTGAAAGGGGATCAGAGGTTATGAAGCCTGCGTATCACAGATAAGACGTCAAAAGACAAATTTAAAAAGCAGGCAACATATCCTAAGGGTGATTCAACATTATTCAAGTAGGAATATTGGAACCACCCAACTAGAAAATGCCGAAAAGTTGAAACTAAAAATACTACAAGCACAACAATAATGTCGTGCTGAACGATCTTCAAGGATCGAAAATATAACATCATTGATTAAATGTACGGGGAGACTTTTTACAGCCGCCACACGGCACAAATAACACGGATGTGATCATAAAATAGATAAATAAAGAATCCCTAAAGAAAGCCCAACACGGCAAAATTGAAAATGTTGCAGGCTCGGTTTGATTGAGCCTGTTCATGGACGGTACTGGAAAGTGCAAGTTACCGTCCACGCCCCCTAGCACCGGCTTAAGCAGAATTCAACATTTAAACATGAAATAGTAAAATTTTGAATTTAGAAACATCCGCAGATGTGTTCATACGGCGGTTATTCGATACCGTCCCTCATGAAAGCTTACTTCACAAGATGTCATTATATGGTATTGACGGAAACATTAACCGGTGGCTTCGAGACTTTCTCACCAACAGAACCATGAGAGTAGTGGTAGACGGTGAAGCATCCGAACCAGTCACAGTAGACTCAGGAGTTCCGCAAGGTACTGTCCTCGGACCACTAGCCTTCCTCTGCCATATAAATGACTTACCAGACTGCGTTAAATCAACTGTCCGTCTCTTCGCCGATGACTGTCTCCTATACCGGCAAATTAAAACCAGAAAAGACCATCTCCAACTACAAACAGACCTGAAATCACTGGAAACTTGGGCATCTACTTGGGGTATGAAATTCAATGCCAAAAAATGTTATGTTATGAGTATCAACAACAGATCCACTAATTTTTACCAACTAGACAATCATATCCTACAAAAAGTTGATGAAAATCCATACCTTGGTGTCACTTTTACAGACAATCTAAAATTTGGTACCCACATCACGAAGATTACCAACAAAGCCAGCTCTACTCTCGGATTCCTCAAGAGAAACCTTAAACACTGCCCACTACTCTGCAGGAAAACAGCCTTCTTATCCCTTGTTAGATCCACTCTTGAATACAGCTCAATTGTATGGGACCCATTCCTACAGAAAGATATAGACAAGCTTGAGTCGATCCAACGGAAGGCTGCTAGATTTATTTCTGGGGATTACAAATCAAGAGATCAAGGCTGCGTTACCAGGATGTTGAAGCAACTTGAGCTATCTCCATTACAAGACAGAAGGAAAATGGCACGATTGACATTCTTCTTCAAGGTGGCTGAGGGGCTGGTGCCAGCCATGCCCACCGATACCTATCTGACCCCTATTCGTGGTAAACGCCTAATTAAACCTAAGAAACTAGACAATTATATAACTAAAAACATTGTAGAAAAACAAGCTATAAACCATCATAAGTGCTATAAACCTATTATCTCAAAAAGTGACCAATTTGAACAATCATTCTTTCCTAAGACTATTAGTGATTGGAATAACTTAGATAGTGCCGTTGTGTGCGCAGATACAGTACAGAGCTTTAAAACAGCTCTCCAACAGTGCTACTAAATTACTTAGCTCCTCTCTCCCGCTGCGTATATACCGGAAGGTTCTGCAGTGTACACATTCAGATTCAGATAGTGTCCAACCTACAGTGTTGTTTTTTTTGTAGACGACAGCGATTTACATGTAGGTCAATATATTATTTAGGCGGATATGACGTAAAATGGCGTCCATTGTTACCAAGTTGTAAATTAACAAAAAATCTGGAAAAATGATTATTTACGTCGAAAGCAAGGAATTCCATGTAAATTAATAAAGATGTTATATTATTTTATATATTTCTTTCAATATATATACTTGTTTCAAAAGTATAATGCGCGTTACACCATATAATTTATAAATATATTTTCCTCTGGTTCGTAATTGGAAATTAATTGGCAAAGTGCCCGAATAGTCTTCTTCCAATATACTTTAATATTTCATGAAAATAATTCAGACTTTTCATTTAAGTTGGTTGATACTGGTCATTATATATACAAATTAGAATAAAAATAACTTGTCATCTTTCAGCAAGAAGAATTAATTCCCTTTTTTCTGAATTACAGGACACACATGTATATCCCAAATAGGTGTTTGGCGCGTTGATTGGCCACTACCCTCGGCCCAAATCCCCTCTCACCTACTCTTCAACCCCCCTACCTCTCAAAACCATGTAAAATGCAGTATTTTTCATTTTAAATATGTTTTAATAATTGTTATATGCTTTTTATTCAATTACCTATATCTCCCACAAAAAAATAAAAAATGATATAATTATATATATTTAGTAAAGGTATGCGACTTGCGAATTACAGTCAACCCGGCCCCAAGTTAACCCGGCCCCAAGTCAACCCGGCCTCAAAATTGGTCAACCCGGCCCCAAAATTGGTCAATCCGGCCCCACAGTATTTTTATTTGGTCAATGCGGCCCCAAAATTGGTCAATGCGGCTCCAAAATCGGTCATTCCGGCCCCAAAATATATATTTTCAAAGAAAATTATTTAAGTCATCTTGTTGTATGATGGAATAAAAATGATTTATTATTAATTGTACCAAATTTAACGATTATTTGCATGTTATTTCACTGTAATCCAGACACAAAAAAAACCATTTACTTTATAAAATATAAGTCATATAATGATATTTGATATCTTCTGTTCTTCACGGATATGATTTTTATATAAAAAAAACGCAAACAAATATAACTTATAACTTTTTTATTTATGGACCAAATTTAAGGATTTTTGCATGTTATGTCATTTTATTATTATAGAACATCGTATCAAGAAAAGTTAATAAAAAAATAATCAATTTACAAAAATAATAGTCATATTCGGTATCTTCTGTCCGCTACGAATATGAATTTATAGAACGTAATTCGAATATAACTTAATTATAACTTTTTTATTTATGGACAAAATTTAACGATATTTTGCATATAAAATCATTTTATTATTCTAAAACATCGTATCAAAGAAAAAATAATAAAAATAATACTTTGTAAAATATAAGTGTTTATATTTAAAGCAAAATAAATAATAAAAAAAATGGGGCCGGGTTGACCAGAAATAACATTGGTTTGGGGCCGGGTTGACCAATTTGGGGACGGGTTGACTTGGGGCCGGGTTGACTTGTACCGCGACTTGCAGCTCATTTTTCAGCACTTGTCTTAATATGAACTCCATAACTCCAACATTTTTTCACCAATTTTCAATATCTTGGTACCAAATGGTAGGGAATTGATTACTCTTAAAGGAATTAAAGCTGTCATTACAATCATTTCAAGTTTAAAGAAGATAACTGTAATCTCGAAGTCACCACAAGTGTAACTCGACAAAGACCTGACCGCATATTGATGTTTTACAATTTGTGTTTGTTAACAAAAAAAAGCAACTGTAGTTCCAATAAAAGTCACCTCTGCAACCTCAGCAGGAAGCTATTGAAAAAATTGCATATGAAAGGGGACTACCACGATACTACCAAGTTGATACTGCAACCGGAAATGACTATACATAATCAAATTTGTATTGTTGACAATATTTTACTAAAATTCATATTTTCATGAAATTAAAACAAGTCTGAAGGAGTTTTGCTTTACACTCTTTTATTTAATGCAAGTCAATCCTTTTTGGAAAACGAGAAATACTCTCACTGGAAGAACATATTTTCTGCATATAAATGTTTGTGAAGTTGAAAATGAACATCATTTTAAAAAAAACAACTGACAGTAAAATTAAGATGTCCTCTGTTACATATTATATTCATTATTTCCCCACTAATTTTCTTTATTTTCAGTACAAGTCGTTCATCACTGTGGTGAAGCCAGATGACAAGGTTGCCAGGGTGCGAGCTCAAATGCTCCACATACTGTATGAGATTGGCAGAGAAGATTTTCAGTTTAGACTGAGGTAAAAAATCAGAATGTTATTGTAACTTATTTAACCCTTAACCTACCAAGTATCTTAAATGGACTCGTCCAGCTTCTTTTTGGAACTGTCAATTATCAATTTTTGGGATATTATGTTGAAAATTTAATTTACTCAGTAAATGGTATGGAGCCATGTCAGATTACAGATGATGCAAAGTCAATTTGTTTCCAGCAGGTTGAGGGATAATATTTTAAACAGCTTACAGTCTGGTTACACAATCATAGGCTTATGAAAGTATCAGTTCTGACAATGACAAAATGTTTATTGATAGAAGGCCTCTAGCCCAAAACAAAATAGAGATATCAATACATTTACATACATTAAATATAGTACAAGAAAAATTATGTTTAAACGAAAAAATTTGCTTGGTACATATTTTATTCTTAAATTTTCACAGGCTGTACATACCATCACAAAATGATACTCTGTTCCTACAGAAACCTTACATACATTACATAAACGCTCAGATCTCTCTACATGACTTTGTCACAGTATGTATCTACATCTTTCAATATTTAAATCATGCAATGAAGTATATAGTTTTGCAAGTACGTTCTGAAGAGATCAGTTATAGATTTGATATTTTTGCAGGTATAATGGCCAATATCTCAGGGATGTGTTCAGTCTTACAGATTACAAGCTGGTACCCAACTCAGTGGTGCAAATGGTTCCTCTTTCAGAAAGCAGAGACGTGAGTAAATTATAGACACATTTAATGCAGATTTAAACTATTTCCTCATGTTCATTGCAGAAAAGTTGTATTAATATTTTTGCAATTGTCTAAATTAACAGAAAACTAGAAAAAATCATTGATGCATTTCTTAACAAAAAAATATTGTGTATATATTTAAAAAAAAACAAACTTCTTTTGAAAAAACATTGGACTTTTTTTTTGGAAGAATAGTAGACAGTATAAAATGGTTTTGGGGTCATTGCCTATTGTCTTATATGGTTCAGTGCTACATTTTAATGTTCATTTTAATTCTGCCTTATACATTTTCAATGACACAAGCATTATCTGGATGTAATGTGTAAAAATATTACCCAAGTTCCTGGATTTTTTAACTAATCATAGCAGCATTTAGTGGCACTAAATTAATTGGTTTTGTAGTTGTGATAATTTTACATTTCTAGGACATGTCAGATTTGAGGTCAATGTCCAGCAGTTTGACCATGAACTTTGACCCTGAGAAAGAAAAGATACCATCTGTGAAATCTGCCCTCTACTATGAAATAAAGCACCTGAACTGGAGGGAACGTCTTGTGAGGGATATGCATGTATGTAGAAGGTTAATCTTAACAGAATTTATCTATGTTTAAACTTGAAATTATTTATATAGATTATATATGTATTGCTTTCAACAGCTCACATATTGTAAGTTTTATCATGATAAGGATATTAATGGGTATAAATCTGTAATGGGAGGTGTATTTGTTTGTATTCTCATCAGAATTATCCTGAAGTATAAAAGTACCTGAACTGAAAGACCTATGTTTGTAAATTCCTCATGAACTAGGTTCATCCTTCACAAAATCATTGCGAAACCTACTTTAAAGGCCTGATTTAAATGCCTTTTTATTTGATTTAGTTGATTGTGTTTTGAATTTTTAACAGTCCATTATTTTACCAAAGGATTTTATAGATAAGATCAAAATCCAGCCAACAATATAGAGTATTGTCAGACTTCAGGCAAGTGTGGATTGAGCTTAATCTAATACTTAGTGTCACAATCCTGTTGTTATTTTTGAAAATCCTTGTTATTAGATTGGGGTATGGCATGGTGTTTGGTCAAGCCGGCAGCCTCAAACATATGGTTTTTGTTTTAGGGTCAAAACTAGAGTTCAGATTGACTTTTGTAATCAAAGCAGCTGTAATGCAAGCCTTTTTTAGACTTTGCTTACAGTTTGTTTTGGCTCCAAAAGGGTCAAGGTCACTGTTACTAAAAGAAGAAAAATGGTTTAACCGTTAAATAACCTAAAACCAATAAAGCATCATTTGTAATCAAAACAATAAAAGTAGAGAACATGGCACTAGTTTGTGATTGCTCTTGTTGAAAACCTGGTTTTGTGGCATTGCCATGTTCCTTGTTTAATATTATTTAAGATTGCAGTGTAAGACTGGATGTTTTTGACAGTTTTTTTCTCAATATTTTGTAGACTTTACTGTACATGCACTCACTGGCACTGTTCCTGTATCTTTTGACATCACACTGGTACTCGATTTTCTGGTTATTGGCTTACCTGTTACCATATTGGTACCTTGTACCCGGCTTTACTCGTATTGGTGGCTATATTGGAAATACTTTTCACAGGTCAGTATGAATGTATGTTTCAGGGTCAAAATAGGTCATATGTTGATGTAACTTTGTTACACCTATCATTCAACACATATTATCTTCAGTAAAAGCCCAATATGTGTATGAATACAGGTATATAGGCCACTGTAATTTATGTTAACATTATTTTCTCTGACAATATTTTTATAAATATTTGTGAGATTGTAGAAACCAGTTTTTTTTTAAGAAAATAAAATCTTTGAATATTAATGGTGTCTTTAATCACTTAATTTTCATCATACCATATGAATACCTGTATATAAAGAACGTCTTACAGAAGTCTTGCAAAAGTCATTTTGCTGTTACTTGACCTGTATTAATTAAAAACAATGCACTACAAATGCTAAAGCAGAAAATTAAGTTATGATCATTAAGAACTGTAAAATAGTAGGTATTTGTAACAGAATGAACAGTTTTTCATGTTTAAAGTATAGTCAGCCATTGATGGATGACAAAGACTTTATATATATTTTTATCAGGCGTTTCTGGTTTTGTGGAATTGTGGGAATCATAGGATTGGCAATAATGAGTGTGGCAATATTTCTTACTGTTGACATCATCACGGACATTGCGGTCAGTATTAATTTTGCTGTATATTATATAATAAGAAGGATAAAATAAACAATTTAAATAGCTATTAGGAGAAGTAGAGTGACCAACTATAGCTGTGTAAAGCATTTACAATGTACATGTATTTTATTCTTATCAACTTCTAACTTACTCAGCCATTGTACCTACTTTTTGCAGATGCACACAATTTATCCAAATTGACACAGCGTTTAAATGGATAAATAAACCCTAATAAAGACAGTTTTAGGTATATGGAAAGTCAGAAATATTCCAATTAAGGGTTTCTTATGAGGATGAAAGATGTAGGACAAAGACTTAGACATAAAAGTGAATTTTTATAGGGTTGTATATCACTTCAACACTGTAATTGATTATATAGAGGATATTTGTTTGTTTTGCATGTAAGATTGAAATATAATTTCACTGAGTGAACACCAGATGCAATATTTTCACGAGTGGCGTAGCCACGAGTGAAAATATAATAGCTGGTGTTCACGAATGAAATATATTTCAATCTTATATGTAAAACAAATAAATTTTCTTTTTATTTTATGCTTTTTAAGTGATTTTAAGCTATTTTTTACTGATTTTGCCGCGTAACGTCTCGCATCTCCTTTGTGACGTCATTATTATCATGACGTCACATCATCAGTTTTGAAATCTAGTTCCGTTAAATTTCTCTAATTTTGTTAAATTTCTAACATGATGTATGATGACATGGACTTTCTTTTCCTAAAGAAGCAAAATTTACGTATGACGGCATTTATTTCTGCCTGTTATTCCATTTAGTTATGATTATCTGTTCATCCGCATTCAGATATAGTCCGGCTACAGTGAAAATTATATTTTATAAATTTCACTAGTGGTTTATCAGAATATAATCATCTGATATATTACAATAAAACACTGGAAAGCATGAAATAAATGGTGACTTTCCAATTTTATCAAAGGTATTGAATAGTATCCAAGAATAACCACAAACTTGAAAGAATGGAATCCACAAGTGAAGGGAATGTTTCCATTGATTGTTACATGGTTGCCCCTGTTATTCCATTAGAGATACTGTTTGTTATGGACCATAGTTGTCTTTGTTTTGATATTTTAATTAAATATCTTTCAAGCTTTCATATTGTACCTAAAATGGTAAATTAAATTAAGTTTCAAAGTTTATTTTAAATTTGGATTTCCTTTCTTGAATATAGTCTGATGATTTTGATAAGTAAAAAAGCTTAAGTTGTCTTGTATTTGATACTAAATTGCACCAGTTATGTTTTATCAAAGGAAACTAAAATATTTTGATCTGTACAGCCTATAATTATGAAAACAATTATTTATTGTGTGAATTTGGAAATATGAAATATCATTTATTGATCATATATAAAATTATAGATAAATGGCATATCCTGAAAATTTTAATTGCAGTGAAAATTTTGAGAGATTAAGCAAAAAGAAAAAAATTTAGATTTTTTTTCACAAGAAATTCGATAATTTTCTTCATTCTGCTCAACACTTCACAATGAAAAAGAGTGCCTTATTCTGCATTCTGTGAATGTCGCTTTTCTATACATATCTTTTTCTTACCATAAATACAAAGTCAGTGGTATTGATATTGAATATTTTACAGAGTGATGGTTGTACAAATGGAGAGTTTACAAACGGATGTTCCAGACAAAATATCTACTCAACATTTATTTTTGGAATACATGCTCTCATCCTACTGGCTTCTAACATTACATGTGGGCTTGTATTGTACAGCTTCAGAATAGAGGTATGTATAACATTATTATGTAATTTAATTTTAGTTCATTTTATACTTTGGTTACCTTTTACGATCCCACATTAGATTCAAATTCAATATTGATAGTTTTCTTTCCAGTGATATGTTTGGTTTTTATGAAAATCATGATCTTTAATTTATCTTTTATATGTTTGTATGCTAAATTTTCGAGATGTGACAGAATAAACTAACATAGTGTTGACCAATCTGCATTATTTCACCTCATTATTTTTGCAATTTTAGTTTCCCATATTCTTACTGTTAATTCCAGTGTAATATGTGACTAAAAATTTTGTACTGAAACAATAAGTAATAGCACTTTTTCACAGTAAAAATCTGAAAACTGAAAACCAATAGAAACAGTGTCCCAATGAAGTATTTGTTTAGGGTTATAAAGTAAATAACACACAGGTTAGTGAGTAGCATCAAAAATATCATCCCTTGTAAAAATACTTTCAGGTAACAGTATTTACCTCAGGATTATATTTTCACTGTTACTAACAAACCTATGTGTTAATTATATACGAGTACTGTAGCCTCCCCTGTCTATAGTGTATAATGTGTAGTCTATAATTTTTGATGGAACATATATTTGCAATAAACAAGTTTATATGTTTAATGCAATAAATTTACAAGTAAATTCACAAATGTTTTTAGTATTATAGAATAGGCATTATAGTCATTAAGCAAAGTATCCAGAAGAAATACATGTACATGAAAGTAAAAATGTTCATGATTACTAATCTTATGTTAAGTTTGGAATGTTACTATAGTAACTGTTAACGTATTATGTTAAAGGTTGGAGATGTTATAGAGCGTTATCTAGTACAAGAACGTGATATTGAGGATGTGATGAAACTTGCTCGCAGTTCTAAACTGAAGGACAAGCGGACTGCAGCATATGAGATGGCCACAATGGCCGCATCAGGTGATGACAACAAGTTCAGAATTGTTGCAGAAGGAGGGTATGTCGAACTGATTTGCTAAGAAATTTGTTGATTTCCTTTACTCTAATTTAAAATCTCATGATTGTATAATGATAGCATCAGTGAAAAATTTAGATAGATACAGTACAACTTACACGGAATGTACATTTTCCTACTTCGCACCGCCGGTTCAGCTGTAAGATTTCCAAATCAGCTTCCTTTAAAAAAAATTCTGATTTTAGAATTATTGTTAAAACTCAATTAAATTATGTCATGTACAAACTGATAAAAGAATTAATCTAAAGAAGAACAAACACAACTTGAAAAATGTACACATTGATTTAAAGACCATACATTACAGGTTAAATGTAATGATTTTAAGACCAAACATTACAGATTACATGTTATGATTTTAAGACCATACATTGCAGGTTAGATGTAATGATTTTAAGACCATACATTACAGGTTATATGTAATGATTTTAAAACCATACATTACAGTTTAGATGTATTGATTTTAAGACCATACATTACAGGTTAGATGTAATGATTTTAAGACCAAACATTACAGATTACATGTTATGATTTTAAGACCATACATTACAGGTTAGATGTAATGATTTTAAGACCATACATTACAGGTTATATGTAATGATTTTAAAACCATACATTACAGTTTAGATGTATTGATTTTAAGACCATACATTACAGGTTAGATGTAATGATTTTAAGACCAAACATTACAGATTACATGTTATGATTTTAAGACCATACATTACAGGTTAGATGTAATGATTTTAAGACCATACATTACAGGTTATATGTAATGATTTTAAGACCATACATTACAGGTTATATGTAATGATTTTAAAACCATACATTACAGTTTAGATGTATTGATTTTAAGACCATACATTACAGTTTAGATGTATTGATTTTAAGACCATACATTACAGGTTAGATTTAATGATTTTAAGACCATACATTACAGGATACATGTAATGATTTTAAGACAATATATTACAGGTAAGATGTAATGATTTTAAGACCATACATTACAGTTTAGATGTAATGATTTTAAGACCATACATTACAGTTTAGATGTAATGATTTTAAGACCATACATTACAGGTTAGGTGTATTGATTTTAAGACCATACATTACAGGATACATGTAATGATTTTAAGACAATATATTATAGGTAAGATGTAATGATTTTAAGACCATACATTACAGTTTAGATGTAATGATTTTAAGACTATACATTACAGGTAAGATGTAATGATTTTAAGACCATACATTACAGTTTAGATGTAATGATTTTAAGACCATACATTACAGTTTAGATGTAATGATTTTAAGACCATACATTACAGGTTAGATGTATTAATAGCCATGATCATCTCCAATGATGAACCTACTCAGGAGTATGCTGTGGAAGCCTTGTCTGAACTTATCACCATACAATCCATTCAGGTATACCTGTCAGATAATTAGTATAATCATAATAAATCTGTGCCTTTTTGTGACAAAAAAGTAGGTAAATATAAATCAATGACAACATAAGTTTGTTGATGAAAATCACTTGCCTATAGCCACCAAGAATGATAATAGTCTTGCAAAAAAAATATATAAGATGCCTCTGTGGCTAAAAAGTTTTATTTTATGTTTTCATTCCTATGTCGTACTTTGCTATTTAATGATAGAAAAATGGCAGAAACTTACAGTATTGTTTGATAAATGCACAGTCAAAATTCTAATATTTGATTCTACCATTCAGTTTGCTTCATCTATTCTATACATATCCTAATATATGATTAATAATCCTACATGATTTTTGACAATTCATAATTATCTTTTATCACTGTATTTTCAGGACAACTTTGTTGAAGTAGGTGGGGTACGTAATTTGACATCACTTCTTCACTCTAACAGTGCACGAGTTATTCAAGAATCAGCACGAGCATTATACACCATATGTCAGAGTGATGAAAACAGACATGCTGTGGCAGAGGATCATGGGTAATATTTAGTTTAACTAAGCATGATTATGTAAGGATCAAGTAGGAGATTATTCAGTTCTGGATTGTTCATGAATGTATGAACCCTTAACCAACTAAATTTCATTTATAGACTTGTTCAGCTTTCATTTTTGGAACAGTCCAAAATCAACTTTGGGGTTATCAAAAACAAACTGTAGACAGTCACCCAACAGTATAGAGCCTGGTTAGACTGCATAGATGTGCAGACTGGTGTTGATCTTTACTTGTGGCAAAGGCCAGACATTTTTGGTTACAGCAGATTAAAGTTAAATATTGTATGTCAATATATGTGTGTATGTTTGTTGAAATGATAAGATGTTGTTTAAAACAAAGACCAACAAGCTGTCATTTAGGATATACTTTTTCCATGTTCAAGAATTGCCTGTACTAAATATATAGAGTTGTAAATCTTGAAAAGTTGTATATGCTGTATGCTGCATATTATAAGTATGTGTAATGACTCTTTCTAGCCACAAAGAAAGGGTCAAAGCAGTTTACAAAGTCTGTTTTTGCTATATTTTACTCTAATTACCTACATGTCAATGTTTTGTATATTATTTGATGGGGTCTCTGTTATATTATGCTTAAGATCACTGACTTTTAGCTTTTGTAATCTTACTTAACTGAAGGTATGAATTCCACCTTTGATATTGAATACAATTAAGGTAGCTTGTGATAAGTCAATGGTTCTACTCAGATGCCTGTTTACATTAAATAATACATAATGGTAGATGAGTACTTATTTGAAGTTATAAATAAAAATATATTTGTTACTTAAAGTGATATGCCCATCCACAAACATGAACAAATGAAAGTCAAAATAAGTTTACATTTTGCCATAATTCCCTTCCATTTTATAATTTACTTTGAGTGAACGATAAATAACTCACATTGCAAAAGAAATTTCTGTAAATATTCGTTGGAATATACCTGTAACGTTCAATTTATAAAAAGAGTGGGGCAGTCTTTTTTATATTTTAGGCAGTTATATATTTTATCCTAAACATTTTCCAATATCAACTGTTGGGTCAGTCAGCGTTATAACAGGCAATCCTTTGAAAAGTATAGTCAATTCAGCTTAACAAAAAATATGAGCATAATGTCACTTAAAACTCTGTGTTTGAAATTATTTTTTGTGCAATAAGCTTGTAGTATTTCAGATGAATCGTAACACATTTTCTTCGGTAAATGGGGA